TAGAAGAACTTAAGTCGATTTTGACGATAAACTTTACAAAATACCAATATGGTAGATTAGACTTCTGTCCTGTTGGCCTTAGGCAGCAGTATCTAAGGTGGTTTTAACTCATCTGTACTTTAATTCGATTTGAATTTGTGCAAATGGTGAAGTAAAGTTCTGTTTAAAATCTTAACCAGTTTTTAGATTATGATTAAAACGTATGCCCGATGCACTGTGACTTTCCATTAAAAAATCACCTCTTCCAATATGCTGAGTCAGGGCTGTCTCTGAGTCAGTGACCTCGTGGCTTTTGGTGCTGCTAGTTTGGGTGACAGATCTTTTAAGAAGCTTTAAATCTCATTAAATGAGGTATATTGAAAACTAAGCTCCACTCCCGAAAACGACATGAGCATGTATTTTCTGGCTAAATTGTTAAAGGTTTTCTATGACGTACAAATGTTTTATTATTTTTTTCTAATTTCTTTGAGCATTTTAGACTTAAATATTTTGGGGGGTGAGGGGTTAAATGTAGTTGCTTTAAGAAAATTCTATCCAAAGGAATCAGGAATGGTTTTTAATCAGTTTCATCCAGAAGAATAAGTTAAATTTCAGAAGTGAAGAAGACTGGCATATTCTGCTTTGATGCAGCATTTAGTGAGCCCTTAACCCCACCCCACACTCAGGAGGCGAGGTGGCCTACTCCTTTGGAGTACTAGTTAGTTAGCGGAGTAGTCGAAATACCTGTTCACATAGAAAGCCCAGAGATAAACCCACGCACATATGGTCACCTTATTTTTGATAAAGGAGGTAAGAATATACAGTGGAGAAAAGAAAGACAGCCTCTTCAATAAGTGGTGCTGGGGAACCTGGACAGCTGCATGTAAAAGAATGAAATTAGAACACTCCCTAACACCATACACAAAAATAAACTCAGAATGGGTTAAAGACCTAAATGTAAGGCCAGGCACTAAAAAACTCTTAGAGGAAAACGTAGGCAGAACACTCTATGACATAAATCACAGCAAGATCCTTTTTGACCCACCTCCTAGAGAAATGGAAATAAAAACAAAAATAAACAAATGGGACCTAATGAAACTTAAAAGCTTTTGCACAGCAAAGGAAACCATAAACAAGACGAAAAGACAGCCCTCAGAATGGGAGAAGATATTTGCAAATGAAGCAGCTGACAAAGGATTAATCTGCAAAATTTACAAGCAGCTCATGCAGCTCAATATCAAAAAAACAAACAACTCAATCCAAAAATGGGCAAAAGACCTAAATAGACATTTCTCCAAAGAAGATATACAGATTGCCAACAAACACATGAAAGGATGCTCAACATCACTGATCATTAGAGAAATGCAAATCAAAACTACAATCAGATATCACCTCACACCAGTCAGAATGGCCATCATCAAAAAATCTACAAGCAATAAACGCTGGAGAGGGTGTGGAGAAAAGGGAACCCTCTTGCACTGTTGGTGGGAATGTAAATTGTTACAGCCACTCTGGAGAACAGTATGGAGGTTCCTTAAAAAACTAAAAATAGAACTACCATAGGACCCAGCAATCCCACTACTGGGCATATACCCTGAGAAAACCATAATTCAAAAAGATTCACTGTACCACAATGTTCATTGCAGCTCTATTTACAATAGCCAGGACATGGAAGCAACCCAAGTGTCCATTGACAGATGAATGGATAAAGAAGATGTGGCACATGTATACAATGGAATATTACTCAGCCATAAAAAGAAACGCAATTGATTTGTTTGTAGTGAGGTGGATGGACCTAGAGACTGTCATACAGAGTGAAGTAAGTCAGAAAGAGAAAAATAAATACTGTATGCTAACACATATATGGAATCTAAAAAGCAAACAAACAAAAAGGTTCTGAAGAACCTAGGGGCAGGACAGGAATAAAGACGCAGCCGTAGAGAATGGACCTGAGGACACGGGGAGGGGGAAGGGTAAGCTGGGACGAAGTGAGAGAGTGGCACGGACTTATATATACTACTAAATGTAAAATAGCTAGCTAGTGGGAAGCAGCCTCATAGCACAGGGAGATGAGCTCGGTGCTTTGTGACCACCTAGATGGGTGGGATAGGGAGGGTGGGAGGGAGACGCAAGAGGGAGGAGATATGGGTATATATGTATATGTATAGCTGATTCATTTTGTTATAAAGCAGAAACTAACACACCATTGTAAAACAATTATTCTCCAATAAAGATGTTTTTTTTAAAAAAAGAAATACCTGATCCTCACCAAAACACTGGGAGGAATCATATCCATAGCCTTCGCTCACCATTTCTTTAATAACTGAAGATTATTGACCCACAGAGCGTGATGGTTAGAATGAAGGCTCTCCAGTTAGGCTAGACTGTCTGGGCTTGAATCCCAGCACAACTGCTCGTCAGTGGGACCAGCAGCAGGCTGCTGAGTCCTCCCTGGTTTGTTACTCAGAGTGGTAGTGATATTCTCTTCTGTATGGGAGTGTTGAGTACATTAACTAATAAATACATGCATGTAAAAGTGCCCAGTGTAGCGAGCATAATATATATTTTTAATTGCTATTCTATTATTTAAGCCTAACAGCTGAGTTCTGGAAATGGTATTATGCCCACTTTATAGATGTGAAAACTGAGGTTCAAATAAATACGTAGATCTCAGTAATCAAGTGGTAAAAAGCTAAGATTTAAATTCAACACAGTCTGACTTAAACGCTTATATTTTCATTATACCTTGTGTGTCTTACTTGTGCTCATGCATTTTGAATATTGCGTCCCGATAGAAAACTTAGTCACTGATTTAACCTTATTTCATAGAATCCAAAACATCATCCATTTTAGGATGCAGGTTTCGCATCCACGGGTTCAGCCAACCAAGGATCGAAAATATCCTGAAAAAATCTACAGATAAAGTTCCAAACAGCAGCATTACATTGTGTTTACAACTATTTACATAGCATTTACACTTTTTTAGGTATTATGTGTAATCTGGAGATGACTTAAATTATATGGAGGATAAAACCAGGTCATTTTATAGATGGGATTTGAGCATCCTCGGATTTTGGTAGCCTGGGGGGTCTTGGAACCAGCCTCCCACAGATGCTGAGGGACAACTGTACACCATTATTTTATGTACTGCTAGGAAAGAAAATAAGGTGCCAGTTAAGGTTTGATAGTGTTTATTTTATACTTACTGAAAGAATTTTTAGACTTAGGATAAACATAGATTTTTATCATGTCACATGCACACACAGAAGGAAAATATAAGCAAAATAAATTGATGAAGGCAGTGATAACTACCACTCCACTATAATCTGCTCAAAACAGGTGCTTAAAGTCATCAATTGTAAGTTTCATTTTGTTTTCAGTGATGTTAGAAAGTTTAAAAGGTGGGGGGAGGGTATATTGAAACTGATGAGCTACAGTAAACCTCTAGGAATGAATGGCTACTTTTTCAGAGATTAAGTAAGTGTATTAGTTAAACTCAGCTTCTGTATCAAAGACTCAAGAGTAGCAGTAGCTTCAGTAAAGACAGAAGTTTATTTCCCTTGAATGTGGCAGAATTCTGGCCTGTGGCTTCGCAGTGCTCAATGCCTCCAGCCAGAAGGGGGGCACAGCAAAGGCCAGACCTCCCCAGACTGTTACAGGGCCACACCTGACTACAAGGGAGATTCGGAAATAGAATCTGTGTCACAGAGGATTTGTGCTCAGCTGTGACGCTAGGACTCTCGTGTTAAGGGAAGAAGGAGAGATGGATCGGGGGGACGTCGTGTTCTCCCACCGTAGTCTGTAGCCTTGGGTTTTCGTTAACAGTGTTTATTTCATTTTGCAGAATTCATTCACATCAAAAAGATGAACCAGAAACTAGATTATCGCAGTAGGTTTGGGCTAGTAATATTTTATTCCAATAATCATGAATTTGACGCCTCTGTCATCGTTGCAGTGTTGAGGATTGACTCTAAAATTATTTAACTTAAAAACATTTTGTGACCTTCTAATTAATTTCCACTAACACAAATTTTTAACAGCATCTTCTTGTGGGGCTAAGTTATAAATAAACCTCATGTCCCATATATGTTGCATTTTACTATGTATTCTTCTATCAGCTGTCTGTGCTAAAGTATGCTTCTTACCATTTTTTCTTATTCCTGAATTTTTCTCATTGCACTTGTATTTGCTTAAATGCGATTTAGATTGACGTTTATTCTTCCAGTCAAAATTACTTAGCAGCTGGTAAGCAAGGTTCGATAATCTGATAGCTACATGTTTGAACAGAAGATACTAAATTAAAAACGTGAAAACCTGCCTCTGACACTTTATTATTTTTACGATTCCAACCAGAAGACTGTTCTGAATCACACACTCTCACATTTGTCCTTCCTGTGCTTTTCTGTTTCCATTTGTTGCACTTTATTCATTTTGTTACCCTAGTAAAATAAGTTTTGAGAGCTGGAATTAACATTAAAGATTTTCGGAAGATTCCGTTTTTCCAAAGTTGCTTGCTTTAAAAAATTAAAGACCTTAACGTTTTAAAATTGTTTGCAAATACAAGTTTTCTTTTTTTTTCTTTTTTCTTTTTTTTTTCCTTTTTTTTTTTGCTGTACGCGGGCCTCTCACTGCTGTGGCCTCTCCCGTTGCGGAGCACAGGCTCCGGACGCGCAGGCTCAGCGGCCATGGCTCACGGGCCCAGCCGCTCCGCGGCATGTGGGATCCTCCCGGACCGGGGCACGAACCCGCGTCCCCTGCATCGGCAGGCGGACTCTCAACCACTGCGCCACCAGGGAAGCCCTACAAGTTTTCTTGATTTATTTTATGTAGATACAATTATGGCTTTGGGGTGTGTTAGCAATTAATTGTTTTCCAGTTAAATTGTGCCTAGGTACTCCCTGTAACTGAAGTATCAGAAGTAAATAGAAATGACTGTTAATATAAGCCAATAATTCCATTTTTAGTGATCCCCATATCAAGATGTGTTTATTGATTTTTATCTGTTTTTTGTTTTTGGATAGTCAGGGAAGAAAATAAACAGCAACCCAAATCCTCTTGTCCAAATGTCAGTTGGTCACAAGGCCCAGGAGAGCAAGGTAAGGCGCCGGCAGTCTGACTGGGGCACTCACTCCCTGTGACCGTGCTGTCGCTGTCACCAGTTGGGGGTGGCGCAGGCATCGAGACCATTGATTTATGAGTCTTTCTTTTGTTTTCTCAAATCAGTTGTTTGATAACCAGCTACTTAATTTGGTATCAAATATATTCATTTAAAAGTAACATTAAAAAGTGACATGAATATGTTAATTATGCTTTTGCTTGATTTCATGGGTAGATGACATGGGACAAATTCTAAGTTTCCTTTGAATGTCCTATTAATATTTTGTTTAAAAGACAACCAGCAGTGCACAGGAAGTCCCCTACATACGAACAAGTTTCTTTCTGAGAGTGAGTTCGTAAGTCCAATTTGTTCGTTAAGTCCCACAGAGTTAGCCTAGGTACCCAACTAACACAATGGGCTATATAGTACTGTACTGTAATAGGTTTATAATACTCTTCACACAAATAATACATAAAAAACAAACACACAAAATAAAGAAAACATTTTTAATCTTACAATACAGTACCTTGAAAAGTACAGTAGTACAGTCCAACAGCTGGCATCCAGGGGCTGGCATCGAGGGAACAGGCGAGAAGAGTGACCGACTGGTGGCGGGAGAGGAGGGGTCGTCAGCAACAGGAGCCAGAGGGCAGGCTGCAGTTTCCCTCCGCCTGACGTGCACGGCACAGGCTCTGGTTCCTCTCTGGAACCGGATACACATTCACGTCTTTGAAAGTCCACAGCTTGAAGGTTCATATGTAGGGGACTTGTTCAACGAATATGATTCTGTTCAAAAATTGAGAGAGGGCATTGCTGTTGCTATAATATGTGCTACTTTCAGGAAACATTTCAGGAATTTCCTCCCTTTTTTTAACTGCTAACCATTAATCTAAGAAACTTCCTGACGTGCAGCAGTCCGCCGGCCTGGGGAGGTCGTGGAGTGAGGACCACACATGCAGATGGCGCATTGTCATGGGGGCTGGGACCCGGGCTGGGAGCTGCTGGCAGCTCATCCGCTGACACGCTCCGGACCTTCCACAGTTAACTCATGATAGGACAGCCCAGAGGATGGGTGTCATCTGTAGCTGCCATGTGCGATACTCGATAAACACAGTATGGTAGTGCTTTGCCACAGCAAATATCCCAGAGCTGATTTTGGATATTTCTTTCAGATTCGGTACAAAACCAATGAACCTGTGTGGGAGGAAAACTTCACTTTCTTCGTTCACAATCCCAAGCGCCAGGAGCTTGAGGTGGAGGTAAGTGATTTGCATGTTTACGTGGTTGTGTTTGTATCTCTGCGTCACATAGTCAACACAGGGAGAACTGCCATCGTGGGCCCACCAGATGTGTTCATGCCCTAGGTGTCAGGCGGGGGGCTGTCAGTTTTTAATTTTCAACTTTTGACTGACTGTTACTGGCATCCAGAGGTGCAGTGGGTGTTGGTGTTCACATGTTGGCACCACTGTCAGCCCTGCCGGACGTGCTTATTCTAGTCGCTTCCGTGTGGATACCTCAGGGGACTGCTCGTAATGACACTTCCCTTCCTGTTCCTTCCTCGCTGCCAGCCCGGCCTCGGCGTCAGTGGACACCTTTGCCTCCTTCGACATCCTAAGGGCAAAGCCTTTGTGTTTCACTTCCTTCTACTCCTCCTGCCGGTTTGCTGAGTGTTTTTGTCATGAATGGGTGTTGAATATTGTCAGAGACTTTTCTACAAGTATTGAGATGATCACGTGATTTCCCTTTTTAAGTTTGTAAATATGGTGAAATGCAGTGTTGACTTTTAAATCTTACATCTTGCAAACATTTACTGGTTTTCAAGATTTAACATGAGTAAACCTTGCAAACAAACCTTTATTTGGGCATAACCCCACTTGTGATGTAGTATCCTTTTCACATGTTCAATTTAATTTGCTAAAAGTTTAAGAGTTTTTGCATCGTAAGTGAACAATAAAGGTGTATTGTGCAGCACAGAGAACTAGAGCCATTATTCTGTAATGACTTTACGTGGAGAACAGTCTACAGTTAACGACTCGCTTTATGTAACCTGGAGCCGATGTACTACTATGAACTGTGCTTCAATTAAACAATCAGGTGGGGTCACCTTGAAAACAAAGAATGCTTGCGCTCCTCCTAACACAATCTATAGTAACTGGACCTCGGATTTAAAAAAATAATTTTTAACGTTCTGTAAACTTAGTTATTTCATTAAAAAATGCTTTTGCGATTACAGTTTAAACAATAAGCAATCAGGCTGTTCGGTTTTTACGTGTAGTTAACTTACTTGATCATTGCTGTAGAGCCTATGAAACCACCAAAGTTCTTACCCCTTTTGGCTAAACTACCTGTATCGCAGCAACCTAACAGGAGTGGTTCCTGTTGCAGAGGCAAAGCTGAAGGTTATTATTCAGGAGCCAGAAATTGTCATGCAGTTAAAGCAGATATTGTACATTTTGAGTAGAAGTCTTAAAAGAAACTTAGAAATGGGTTTTCTCCATGAACAAGGGTCACCACGAGAACTTGGCACACCACCGGGCATGTGTATTGTCACCGTTTTCACAGGACTGAAGACATTTCCTTCTAATATTCAGATTTGTGTGGACTGCTGCCTCTCAGCTCAGGGTCGGGTCCTTGTAATGGATTCCTCGAACGGGCTTTTCTCTTTTTCGTGCTCATTATGACTGTGTGATTGGGAGATGACCGGCCCTGTGACATGGCTGCACTGTAGCATCACTTGTTGCAATGTTTTGAGTCTCCCTGATGGGGTTTCCTACTGCGTTGTGCATGGCGACAGGATGTAGAAGGAGGTGGCCGAAGATGGGGCCTGGGGCCTTCCTGGGTTTTTCTGTCTCCATCCCCAGCATTGAGCGCTCTGTCGTGTTTGGCAGGTGAAAGATGAGCAGCACCAGTGTTGCCTGGGGAACCTGAGGATCCCTCTCAGCCAGCTGCTTGCCTGCGAGGACATGACCCTGAACCAGCGGTTCCAGCTCAGTAACTCAGGCCCCAACAGCTCGCTGAAGATGAAGCTCGCCCTCAGGGTACTGCTGTCTCCAGAGCGCGGCTGGGGGAAGGGTCCTGGGTGGGCAGTGCCTGTGGTGCTCACGGTGCTGGGCGCAGGACAAGGATGACAGGGACGTGCTTTACGGGGAGTGTGAGTTTTCACATTGCTGCTGGCTATGTAGCTCAGGGGAGAGATGACCAGGGCTTGGACTCCGACACCGACAGAGCAGAGTTTCCAGGTCGCTTGAGCAGGCCCGGAATTGTTCCTTGGGCTTTCACATGAATCCCACCAGCATTTTTTTTTTTTTTTTTAATCCTTTTGTCCAGAAAGTATTGCTATCTGGATCAATAAAGTTTTCTGCTAATGTTAAATTTTCAAAGGTCATTCAGAAAAAAGAATTTAAAAAAACTCTGCAAGACGGTAGAGATTACAGGAGAAATATTGTCCAAAATAGACGATGATTCATTTGTAAGTACCTAAGGAAATGCTGAAAATAAAACTGGCAAACATACGGGAAAATGCTAAAACTCTCTAATTTTTAAAATGCAAATTAAAATGCAGAACCAACTTTTTTTTAAAGTAAAACAAACTTAGTCTGTGGAAGGTGTGATGGAAACGGCCTCCTTGTGCCTGGTCACAGCCTTTCCAGAAGGGACTTCAGTGTCTTCAGCTGTAAACCACAGAGCCCTTTCTCTGGAAACCTGACTCCTGGTCATAACACAGAACTGGGGGCGTTGGCTGCAGCTTTACTTGGTAAAAGCGGGAAGAAGCTTCAGGCCGTCGGGGTGACCCCCAATGCAGGGTGTAGACTGCTCAGGGACATGTGCACACTCAGAACTAATGTGAAAGGAAGCAAAGCGGGGAGGTGTTGCTCCCATGTCAACCCTAGGGGTCCGGCAGCCTCGCCCTTCCCCGGTCGCTGGTGGAGACGGTAGGATAGGGGTCAGTGTAGGTTGGGGTTTGTGGCTCGGGCTCTGCCACTGTCAAGCTGTCACCACTGTGCAGAAGAGTGGACAGGAGGAGGCCAGAGAGAGATGCACAGAGGTGTGGCTTGCACCACGCGGTGCTGTGACGGTTACCCGCATGTGCCTTTTTCTACACTTTCTGTAATATGGTAGGATAGCTGAACAGAGAGGCTAGATTGTTTTTCATGTTTTGTGCCAAGCTTTAAAGAAACGTTTGCAAATGAGTATCTCTAAAGCTGTTCATGTATGAGGCTGTTACCAGTGTCACCCGTTTTAATTTTGTATCTATTTTCACCTCAAGGTACTCCACCTTGAAAAGCAAGAAAGGTCTCCAGACCACCAGCACTCAGCTCAAGTAAAGCGACCCTCTGTTTCCAAGGAAGGGAGAAAAATATCTGTCAGATCTCAGATGTCTGCATCGCCAGGCACTGGTGACAGCAGCACAGCCCCATCCACGCCGGTCATGGGGGGCTGCGATAATAAGCCAGGTGTGGAAGAGAGAGCCCAGCCCGCAGAGGCCAGCCCGCAGGGTCCGCGGGACCTGGGCAGAAGCTCCTCCAGCCTCCAGGCCGGCAGCACCGGCTCCCCCAGCCACGTCTCCATCAAGGAGCCCACCCCAAGCATCGCCTCAGACATTTCGCTGCCCGTCGCCACACAGGAGCTGCGACAGAGGTTGCGGCAGCTTGAGAAGTAACTAGACGCCCCTTGCTCTTGCTGAATCGGCGCTTGACCCGCGGGCTGTGGGGAGGGAACGCGGTCATAAGCCAAACAGCTTTCAGGCAGTGTGGCCCTTTCGCTCACCGAGCCTTTGGCTTTCAAAGTAAACCTGCCATTTTCCAGGGCCTAGTATTTGGCTTATTTAAAGCTTAGGAACAGTGGGGGGATCCTCAGACCAGAAAGGCAGAGTCTAAAGCTGACCTGACGTGGAAAGGCTTGGCGGAAGCTGGACACGTTTGTCACGTGAGAACAGGCCCTGCTCTTTCATGCTTGGCCCCCACCCATTTCACCACCCAGCGGGTTTGTCTGTCTGTGGATGTTTGTGTGGATTTCTCACTTATGCCCCGTGAGTCATGGGCGTGTCCGTGGTTTCCTTAGATAAGGACAAAGTCTGCAGTTACCCAAAGCTTCCGACGTGAGCCTTTTCCTCTTAGCAGGGGGAGTGGGTTGCCCTTTGGGGCGGTCTCCTCTTTGCTGCCCTGCGGTGTGCTGAGCATGGAGCAGAGGCCGAGGTGTGGAGCCTGTGGTCCGGGGCTCAGCCGGGGCAGGCGGCCGTAACCCATGCGCAGAGCAGCTCTGTTCGTGGCTGCAATTTCAGGAGAAAGGAAGCAGTCCCTGTCTCTCCCTTGCTCTAGAAAGAAATAGAATTTTAAATAAGAAACCAGTTTTTCCCAGGAGCTAAATTTGGGGAGAAACCGAGAAGATCTCGGAGCTGAGTCAGAGCCGTCATTGGTTGTCCTGGAGCTGGTGCCTCAGCCTGAGATGGGGATGGAGGGGAGGGGGTGTGACCTCATCAGACGACCCGTGAGGTGCCCAGCAAGGGGCTCTGAGAAAGGAGCGCAGATTTGGGCAGTTCTAGGGTAGACGTAGCTTCAGAAACTCTGAAGAGTGAATGCTTGTAAGGAGACGCCTGTGTCTTGTTCTCACTTTGGGCCACATGGTTGTCAGCAGTTGGGTTATATTGAACCCTCGGAGGAAATATGAATCCAGCTGGTCCGTTCATACCCAGAAGTTCAGACTAGGTTCATGTTCATGGGTGCTTTGCTTCCCGCTTGTCTGAGTGAATGAATGTGCTCACGGCCACTGTGCTGTCTGAGGAGTGCTCTTACTCTCGGCTTTGTTTCCTCAGTGGGACGACCCTGGGACAGTCCCCGCTGGGGCAGATCCAGCTGACCGTCCGGCACAGCTCGCAGAGGAACAAGCTGGTGGTGGTCGTGCACTCCTGCAGGTGAGCCGGGCTCTCGGCTCTCGCGTCACGGACAGCAGTTTGTTTCATTTACAGACGAGAGCAAGTAGGCGATACTGCAGTTAGATACTGTAGTCCTGGTTTTCAGGTTCTTAACCTTGTTTCATAACATTTTCTGTTACTAACCGTTTTGGTTGCTTTGTAACACTCCCTTAAACTGCCATATTGCAGTTCATAAAACATTCCCTGTGGTTGAACGTTTACAACACTATAATAAGCATAGTTTTCTTTTAGTGAAGTGTCTTTTGGGGATTCAGTTTCCAGGAGTGGATTTATAACAATTCAGAGAATTCAGGCAAGTCTGTGGGATACTGACAGGAGCTCTTTTCCCCACAAGCAGGGCGGTTTGTACCGGTTCGGTAAACGTAATGTGATACAACGGTGTTGCTTCAGTTTGTATTTGACGACTGATGATGGTGTGGCGCTGATTATTTTCCTTTATGTGACTTGATTGTCTCACTAGTAGCTGTGATGGAAATATGTGATAGAAATATTTGGACGTTATAAAAAGGCGTGGAAACAGGAAAGTAAAATTAGTAACACTTAGAAACATGATTATATAAATGTCGAGTTCGCTTCACTACCTATTTATTCAGCACCTTCTATGTTCCTCCTGCCGAGATAATTACTATGTGAGATTCCGGAGCAGCAGTCTGATTCAGAGGACTCTCCCTCGTGGGCTTTCGGTCCATCAACAAGTGAACAGTTGGAAGTGGTTGCAGGGACAGCTGACCCTTGAACAGCGTGGGTTTGAGCGGCATGGCTCCACCTACACGAGGAGCTTTTCAGTAGTAAATGCCACCACCCTAC